GAGAGAGAGAGAGACAGACAGACAGACAGACAGACAGAGTCAGAGTCAGAGTCAGAGACAGACAGAGAGAGAGAAAGAAAGAGAGAGAGAGAGAGATTGGGGGAGAGAGATTGGGGGAGAGATTGAGAGAGAGAGACAGATCAGATTTTTACTGAACCACTGACCCAATATTATCCAACTCAATTTCCAGGAAAACTGTCTTAAGTTGTAAGTATGTAAAATTGTTGAATGTTTAAAGTCTGTGTAGCATTTTAATTTATGAGCTATGTCTTGGTTACTTTTCCTCATTGCTGAGACAAAATATGTGACACCCAAAAAAGAAAGGTTTATTTAGCTCACAGTTTGTGTAGGTTTCAATCCATAGTCAGCTGGCTTGAAGGCAGCATGGCATATAGGAGAGGGCAGCAGTTCAAAGTGGCAGAAGACAGCAAAAATGTCAAGGGCAAAAGGGAGAGAAGCAAGCCTCTTTTTCTTTACATTGTATGTAGTCCAGGTGGTCTCTTCCCCCAACCCAGCACTTATACCATCTCCATTTTTTCCTCTTACACAGGCTCAGGATGTTTACAAAGTGAGGACCTGGCCCCCTGCTGAGTCATTTAGTTAAACTTCTACACCTCTCAATTTAACAATCACAACAAGCTAGTTTTTTTGTGTTTGTATGCAATAAAGTGTTTTGAGTATAAATTTTCACTATTCAAATTTATACTATTTTACATTTTGTATTTTCTCTCTCTCTCTCTTTTTTTTTTTAACATTAACATGGGCATAGTGGCATACTTCTGTAATTGCAGCATTTGGGAGGCTGAGGCTGAAGAATTGCCTTGAGTTCCAGGCCAGCCTGAATTATGTTGCAAAACTCCGTCCCAAAAAAAACCAAAACAAAAATCAAAATAAGTCATATCATGTTCTTCTGGCACATGGTTTTAACTCTTGAAACGCCAGTTTTGTTAAAGGTAGGAAAATAAAGAGGCTTTGCAGAGCAGGTTTTGGCCAAGTAGTAGGAGAAAAAGAAGTGCAATCTTTGATGTCCGTTTTGTATCTCCCACCCCTCAAGCTGATATCAGGTTTAGGCCAGTCTATTGAAAACCTGCTAAATTTTTTTGCGAGATCCACATGCAGATTTTTGGGAACTGTCCTGTCCATGTGTTCTGGGTTTTTTGTAATTAGCAGATCACACCCACTTCCCAGCCAGTTTGCCTTTCTCTAATCTGTCTCATTTCCCCCTGAGAAAGACATATACTCGTAATTTTTTATGGGGTGCTACGGGAGTGGCGGTCTCTGTCTTCTGTGCCTTCTAAGTTCTTCTCTTCTGAACAAACAGCTGGTCAAGACAAGTGCAAACAGTAGCAAGGTTTTATTGGTGATGGGAAAAGAAACATAGACTCTGCAAAATAATTTTGGGTCAAGTAAAAGGAAAAGAAATATGCCTTTATTGGGAGGGCAGGTAGGCTGTCCATGTAAGAAATAATACAGTGGCCAACGTTACTTTTATGATTGGACAAATCACCCCATATTAACTTCATAATGTGATTTTTTTAGGGATTGATTGAACACCTTAAATTCATGAGATCTGAAAAGATAAAGAACTAATTCACTATATGAATCATGTTTGGTTTTATATTCTATGTACCAGTCACTCATGTATTTTAAAAACTTAAAATACTGAGGTGCATGCAAAATAAAATAATGTTTTGAATTCAAGTGGTACAGACTACTTCCACCAAATGTTAACTTTTGTATGCTGGTAGTTTTGAATTAAATATTTGTGTTGTTCTAGTAGATTAATAGTATATAGAGTATTACTACTGCTACTATATTTCCCTGAAAATATGACGGTCTTATATTAGTTTTTGCTTCAAAAGACAAAGTAGGGCTTATTTTCAGGGGATGTCTTAATTTTACATGTACAATTATCTACCTTTATTCATGTCTAACCTATTTTTTCAACAATCTATATTTGTTTATTCATATATTAAAAATATACACTTATTTATATACAATAATCTACATTTATTCAAATAGTCATGTCGATGGGCATAGTGGCATACTTCTGTAATTGCCGCATTTGGGAGGCTGAGGCTGAAGAATTGCCTTGAGTTCCAGGCCAGCCTGAATTATGTTGCAAAACTCCGTCCCAAAAAAACCAAAACAAAAATCAAAATAAGTCATGTCATGTTCTTCTGGCACATGGTTTTAATTCTCAAAACCCCAAATTCTAGCTTGAATTCCTTGTGTTTTCATCTTATGTAGAACCATTGACCCCAATCTCTCATGTCCAGCAATAACTCTGTCCTCAATTGAGCACTTCTTGTCTCTGTAGCCTGCTCATAGTATATTGGCAACACAGCTGTCAGTGATTTTTATCCCATGAATTCTAGATTTGCCTTATCTTTTCCATACCTATCTCCATATTGTAGGATGTGTTACCAGTGTTCTTTGATACTGCAAGCATCTATCAATGTATATAAGTGAATTTTTCAGTGAGTTAAAAAACAGGGATTGGTGATGTAACTCAGTTTGTACAATCCTTGCTTACCATGTTTAAAGCCCTGGGTTCAATCCCCAGTACCACAAAACAATAAACAAAAGAAAAATCCCAGACCCAGCCTGGCAACAAATGCACTTTCTCAATGTATTTCTGCACACATTTAGAAAGAGCTAAGGCTGGCCAAATAGCTTAATGGATTAAAGCACCTGTAAGCAGACGCAGGGGCTGGGGGGTTCGATTCCTGGCCTGTCATGCCGACCCTGCCCATGGTACGTGTTGAGATGGGGATTTAGACTGGGCGTGGTGACATGCACCTGTAATCCCAGCTCTTGGGAGACTATAAACAGGGGAATCACTATGAGTTCGATCTATGAGTGAGACCCTGAAGACCCTGTGGACCCTTCCCTAAAAATACAAAACAAAAACAAAAACAAAAACAAAACAAAACAAAAAAAAAACTGGCAAAAAAGCTGACAGAATTAGCCTTAAAAATTGAAGTCATTAAGGTCCTTGCAAATAGTTAACAAAGTATTAGTAATGGGAAGCATTTTTATAAGACACAGTTGATTAAAACTTTGCTATAACTGGTGCTAAGACCTTAGTGAAGTTTCTTGTTTGAAAAATTTAGACTCAACATTACCATATCATTGGTTTCTCAAAATATTAAGGTGTAGTTTAATTTTATGTACATGAAAGGTGAAGCAAAAAATTGTGAAGTAGGTGTTAGGTAGCCAGTCTCCAAAAAAGAATGGATCATATTCTGAAGGATTCAGTTAACTGGAAATTCTCCTTCCACAGAGAAACTGTATTAAACATGTACATGAAATTTATATTGGACTTAGTAGCTGCAGTAGTTTTTTTTTTTTTTTTAATCTAGTTATTGTATGGCTTACTCTGAGCCATAGAAGCAAGACTTTTTGGAGCCATAAAAGCCTGATTATATATCTTGGGGGCATTTCCTGCTTCTCTGGAATATGAGTTAATCTTTCACAAAATTGTGTGCCTTATCACCAAATCCTGAAGCATTTGCTATAGATATCTATATGATCACTTAATGGAAATATAAAAGTCCTATAGGTTGAGTAAATGTAATTCTTAAAATGTTTTTTATAATGTTGTTACTGGTAGACCCTTAAGGTTAAACAAGAAGTAGCATGTACTTATCTATGGCATAAGTATTATGCCATACCTGATTGTAGTTTAGGGACAAGCTAATATATAGATAAGATGTCACAATTAGGAGAATGTAGTTCAACGGGGGATTCATTAAGAATTTCCTGGGAAAATAATTCATATATTTGTGTACTAACCTCCAAAGTTAAAAGTACACTAATTCAGTCCAAGTAATTTGAAAGGAGAAATATAAGAAAACTTGGCTTTAATTAGTTTAACAATAAAGATAATGTGAAGATTGAATTAGCCATGTATTCCCATATTTTAGGTTTCCAGTGTCTTAAGTTTTGGCTTTTCTTCATAACTTTAAGTTTTTAAAAAGCTTGCTTGTTTTGTAAAATTTGTGTTGTTGTGTGTTCATGGGAATCCACATATCATACATATTCTTGTTTCAAATAAAACAATTCATTTGGGCATTTTATTTTTTTATTTACGGTACTAGGGATTGAATTTAGGACCTTGTGTTTGCCAGACAAGTGCTTATTCCACTGAGCTATCTCCCCAGCTCTGGGCATTTTAAAAATAGTGTTTATTATACCACTATTTTAAAAAAAGACTTATTTATCTTTGTTTTTCCGTGGAATTAACATGACACCTTTCATACAGAAAACCATGAAAAAAATTTTTTTAATGTATTTAGTACAGGTTCTACAGGGTCTCACCACACGATAAGACTTGTGATTCTCCTGTTTTCAACTTCTCAAGTGCTGGGATTACAGGTGCACGCTACCACACCCAGTCTCAGTCACCCTTTTAGTGTGCCCAGAGTATGGGGCCGGCATGGCATGAAGGTGAATTGTTAGATTTTGACTTAATTAATATATGATAGAATATATCCAACTAATTTTCTGGTTTTTTTTTTTTTGTTGTTGTTGTTGTTGAATTACTTGGAAAAACAAAAACCTAGACCTAGAAGCTAGAAGGAGGGCTGAGGCAGAAGAATCACAAATTTAAGCCCAGATTGGTCAAGTTAGTATTAGTGAGACCCTGTGTCAAAGTTAAAAAAATAAAAAAAGGACTGGACAGATAGCTAAATTTAAAGGCCTTGGATTCAATCTACAGTATCCCGAGTACACATTCAAAACTAGAAAAAGAATGAATTAAAATATATTTAAAATGATCTTTTTTTCACAGAAACAATTGTATCTGAAATGTGAAGAACAGGTAACATTTAAAGACTAATATCACTTAATGCTTGAAAAGTTAGATTTGCTAAAATTTTAGGTTATTGCTTACTTTTGTAATTTTTTTTTTTTTTTTTTAGAAATGATTTCACTCTATGGTTCAGGCTGGCCTTGAACTCCTGGTAGCCCAGGCTGCCTTGAATTTTCAGTGGTCCTCCTGACTCAAACTCAGTGCTGAGATTACAGGTATGTGCCATCAGTCCTGGCTCAAAAGGATATTTTTTTTTTCAAAAGGATATTTTTAAAAAAATATTTTTAATTTAGTAATTTATCAGATTTTCTTAAGTAGTAAATGCTTGATGCAACCCATTTTATTTATTAAATTTGTGTTTATTCAGGAATGAATGTAGTTATGGAAGTGAATGTAAGTTATATAAAATGACTTCTATGTGTCAAATATATTCAACTTAAAAATTGACCTTTTTAGAGGCAGAAGAAGTAATATATGTGTGTATAGATATATATAATTGATTTCATGAACTCTGTAATGATAGATATCTTCATTTTATAGGAGGGAAAACTGAGGCATAACTTGCTCCCTTGTCTGGAGTCATATGGTAAGATTAAAGATCAGAATTTCATCCCAAGTATTTCTTTTTTCTTTTCTTTTTTTTTTTTGGTATTTTGTCCCTTCCCCCCAAAATAATTATTTCTAAAAAATTATAAAGGTATTATGGGTCTTTACATTTTTTTCCCCTTAAGTGTATATTCTATATCTTTAACAGTGGCAGAGCCCTGTTAAAAAGAATGAGCAAGGTGTCTAGATATTCTTCATTTGCTAGGGCTGCCTTAACAATATAACAGATGGGTGTTTTACACAATGGAAACTTGGTTTTGCACAATCTTAAGAAGGCAGAGATTAATTTATTTTCAGGATCAGTTTCTTCCCAGGGGGGTAAGGAGAGGGCTCCAGGCTTCTCTGGCTTGTAGATGGCCTCGCTCCTCAGTCTTCACATGGTCTTCCCTCCTTGCAGCTTTTCCTGGTCTCTCTGTCTATTAGGGATGCCAGTCGCTGCATTAGGCCACAATCTAGCAGCCAGATTTTAATTATTTCTATAGACTGTATCTAAATCAGTCACAATAAATGTTAGTGAGAATTAGGACTTCAACACAGCAATTTTGGGGAAGCATAGTATAGATTGTAATATACTTTATGTGGGTTCTCCTAGTTTGTAGAGATTTGCTGCAGGCTTACTGCCTTTCTAGTATATTGGGAAATGTGAGCTCAGTTTGGTTGAGGACTTACAAAATTAAGATACAAGAAAACTGGTAGGCAGGTTGAGCTCATTAATGTTAAATTAAGTTTTTAATTGCATAATGCAGTCATTGTAGTTCAGAATTGCAAGTAAAACTGTAATGCTTTCTATAAGGTTTAGGTAGGAGTAGAGGATTTATATTTTCTTTAGTATCTGCTGGTTTGGTTTGGTTTGGTTTGTTGACATAGTTCAGGCTGGTCTTGAACTCAAAATGTCCTGGGTGGCCTTGAAGTCACAGCCAGTCCCCCTGCCTCAGCCTCCAGCTGGGATTAAAGATGTATGTCACCACACCCAGTTATGAATATCTGCTTGAAGTTGGATACTACATGTGGCATTCTGTTGAATCTGCATAACAGTTCTATTAGGCAAATATTGTAGGTAGGTTCAACTAATTTTTCTGCTCACACAGTTAGGAACAGTACATATAGTAAAGATTTGAGCTGAGTCCATGCTCTAGACAGACTGGTGAAGATTGTAAAGGTGAGAAAGAAGGCTCTGCTAGGTAGAAGTATAAACAAACAGTAGCTTTGACATGCACAAAGAGTGATATTTCAAGTATTATATTTAAAATCTAAAAATACTAAACTTTGAATTGTAATTAAAAATTAGTACTTTTAGTGATCTGACTTGAATTCTTTTCTAATTTGTAAAACGGTACAGTTTAGAAAAGGAATGGATCACGAGGTAGGCTTGGTGGCATTCCTCAGATTGCCAGTAGGCCAGCCTGGGCTACATGAGGTCAAGGCCTACCTGAAGTGCAAACCCTGTCTCACAGAAAAAAACAAAAAACAAAACAAAACAAAACAAAACAAAAAAAAACCCCAAAATAACCTAAAACAAAGAAAACAGCAGAAATGGATCAATTCATAGTATTGATGACATTAGGTAAAATAGGAAGGTTTTTTTTTTTAATAGAGAGTAGACTATAATATTTAAATATTAGGTTAGGAGATAATTTATGATGTATAGAAAGAATTTTTACAAAATTATGAAAGACTCGTGGTACAGGTGGAACAGTGGGGGCTGAGGAAGTCACTCCACTCTACCCATTTGAGCTTGGCTGCACCGCAGGACCATTCTGTATAACTCTAGCCCTAAGCACACGCCTTCTTTCTCACCCTCAAGCCCAAAAGCCTGGTTTGCCTGCATGGTGTGCTGTGTGACTTTTCTACTGTAGGACCATTTCCCTGCTCCCAATCACTAATAGATGTGGCTGCTTTTGTTTTACCATTAGTGTATACTTTGTGAATTTTTGCTTGTCCTGCGCAAGAGCTTGGTATCTGTCTTATCTACCATATGGTAATGTCTTAGTTACTTTCTTGTTGCTGGGACAAAATATCCAACACCTACAAGCTAAGGGAGGAAAGGTTTGTGGAGGTCTCAGTCGATAGGTTACTGCTTCCAAGCCAAGGTGGCATGGCAAAGAAGACACAGTCCCTGGTGTGGCAGGTAAGAGGTGCCCATCTTCCTTCTGCTGTCCCTTTCTAGTCTGTCCAGGACACAAGCCTGTTGGTGCCACCCAAAGCTAGGGTGGGTCTTCTGCTTCAGTAAGTCTACCATCTGCAGACAGTTAGCTAAACTGATCAATGGGGTAATATAGTATCTCCCACCCACAATCCAGTCACTGTCCAAAGTCCTACCTATGAGCAGCAGGAAGCTTTGGGGGACGTCTAAATAGAAGCTTTAACACACTGGCACCTCATTTATTGAAATGGTTCTTTTGTATGTTATTTCAAAGCATTATTTCTGATAGCATATTTTAAGATTATGGTAGAATAGTATCCTAATTTTGAGTCAAGAGTAGAATTGGTCATACTTAGGTTATTATAACAAAAAATTGCCTTTAAAAATGATGAGTTAAAGATATTGTCTAAGCGAGAACCCTGGACATTTTATTTCTCTTCTCGTCTAACTTACTTCACATGCCAGTTCACTACATTTAGTTTCGACACCCTGCACTATTTCTTTTCTTAGAGACACTCTCTCTAAAGTACCCTTATGTGATCCCATTTCTGCTGGTTGTTCTCTAGGCCTACTGAAGTTATACTGTCTTGTTTTGTTTTGTGGTACTAGGGATTGAGCTTGGGACTTTGCTCATGCCAGGCAGGCACTTATGCTGCTGAGCTGTCTCCCCAGCTCTGTACTGTCTTGGGACTTCATATTATATATCTTGTGGGGTTTTTTTCATTAATTTTTATGTTTTGATAGGTTCTATAGCAGCTTCCTAAGAAAGGATACGTATGAGATGTGCATTGTGTGATATTGTTGATCTTTTTTTTTTCTTTATACCTGATAAAAAATTTGGCTGGGTTTCTTTTCTTTTTTCTTTCTTTTCTTTTTTTTTTTTTTTTTTGTGTGTGTGTGTGTGTGTGTGGTACTGGGGATTGAACTGAGGACCCTGCACTTGCCAGGCAAACACTTATTCTACTGAGCTATCTCCCTGGCCCTTGACTGGGTTTCTTAATTACTTTTTGTGTTGCTGAGATAAAACCTAGACCTGAGGGTAAGGAAGGAAGAGTATATTTTGACTCACAGTTTGTAGAGGTTCCATTTTATAGTTGGCTTTCTCTAAGGCAGGGTGGATGGCTGAGGGGCATTGCAGAGGAGTTCATGGCAGGCAGAAGGCAGCAAAGCAGTGAATTAGTAAAGCAGCAACAGCAGCAGCCTGCTTCTCCCTTTTATCCCTTCTAGGCCACCAACCCTTTTTTTGGCGCCACCCACACCCAGAGTGGGCTTTCCATTATCTACATGCAGAACTGTTCCAAATTAGTCTGTCTGCTACTTTAATAACCACACACCCTTACAGCAGCCCCACCCATGACCGCATGAGGCTCTACTGGACATCTAGACACAGCCATAACACTGGGTACAAATTATAGGTTGAAGATTAGTACTGATAAGCTTTCAATGTTCTTTTTTTTTTTTTTTTTTTTAACTGTCTTATAGTTTCTATTCTTTTGATTTTTTTATATATGATGTGTTTCTGCTCCTGCTTTGGTCCATTGTATTTTAGTATATTATTTTTATTTCCATTGTTCTAAAATTGTGGCGTATGTATTGCTGTAACTTTGAAAATTGTAATTATTATGTTGTGCTAGTGGCCTCTTTCAACTTAGAGATAGATACATTCTAGCTAGGAAATTTTCTTACATTATTTCTTGGATAATGTACCTTAACCTTTTTCTTCTATTCTTTTGTAAATTTGTTGAATGTTGTACTTTTGAAATTTTCTAACAATTTATCTTCTCTTTTTCGTTTATATATTTCTTTTTTAGTCTCAGTTTTTAGGACTTTTACTCAGCTTAGCACTTGATTTTTCTAAAACTGAATTTAAAAGTTTTGGCTATCTTATTTTGGACCTTGCATTTTTTTTCTCTACATTACTTTTTATATTCATTTTTGTCTTACATCCTAAATACATTAATTTTCTGGTTTTTGCCTGTGTATTTTTTTCCTTTACAATACCTGTATCTGTTACTTTTTTTTTTTTTTTTTTAAGTATTTTAGATACGAGGTTTTTCTAAAGTTCCTTCTGCTTATATCCATCCATATTTAAGAGTTAAGTACTAACATGCTCCGTAGGAGTTCTGTATGCTGTATCAGAATTTTTAAGATGTGATACCTTCTGTATATATTGTTTGATCATTTTGTTCAGGTGAGAAATACGTAACTTGCCCAACGGATAACCCTTACTCACTTCTTGTATTTTGGTCTAGCATCTCAATCTTGTTTTAGTGTGTATCTGGCATTCCTGAATCCAGTTCACTAATTCTAATTTGTTTCCCATCTGTTCATTCTTAGTCGGCCTGCCTTTTGCTAAGGCCTTTTCTAAAGATAATAGTTAAGCATAATCTTTTTTGTAGAGATAATCATATTGTCAATGTGTGAAACTCACTTTGATTAGATTGAGTGTTCTCAAATTTTCTATCCATTGTAAATAATTACTGTCATCCATTATCTGTGTGTGTGTATCTTCTCTATCAGTTTGTCCCCCCAACCACCTCTCACCATCTATTTATCTAAATTTTTGCCAGCTTATATCTTGATAGGGCCTTAGTTTCTTACTGCTGCTACCATGACCTGTAAATATAAATTCAAAAATTGGTATTAGGAGTCCAGGCATGTTGGCACGTGCCTGTAATCCCAGTGCTGGGGTGGCTGAAAACAGGAGGATCACTATGAGTTTGAGCTGTGTTAGTGAGACCTTGCACAAAATACAAAAAAAAAAAAAAAATTGGCATTAGGATTATTGAAGTAGGTTTTCAATATCATACTGTGATTACAAAAATGTTTTTGCTTTACTTTTGGAAACTGCTTCTTTCTCTTTGAAAATTAGATAATTTAAAGATGGCAGAGCTCTTTATGGAATGTGAAGAAGAAGAGCTGGAGCCATGGCAGAAGAAAGTGAAAGAGGTTGATGAGGAGGATGATGACGATGAACCCATCTTTGTTGGGGAGATAGCAAGTTCAAAGCCTGCGATTTCAAGTGAGTACTTACTGTGTGGGAAGCCAGGCTTCATAGAGCATCCTTTCTTGGGGGAAACCTGTGAGCGGCTCCATGAACTTGGCGTCCTTATTCAAGGAGTTAGGGACAAGAGGCTGGGAGAGTCCGGACCGGGATTTGAGTAGGGACCTGGGGAGGACTTGAGGTTAGGTACCAGATGTGCACAGAGAAAAGTAGACGTAGACTAGTAAGGAGACTTAGACTGGTGACACTGGAAATTTTCTGATATTAGAAAATAAAACTTTTATATAGTGGAGTAACCTGTTTATCTTTTTCATTTTTCTTTTTTTCTCACTTAAACACAAGTAGATGAAAGGATTTAGATGGTTTGGCTTAAAATTTTGGAATATATTACATAAGTTTGTGTTAGGCTCAGATGTTCTCACACCTGCACCTCAAGGTACTGTCACCCACACAAATATGTCTACAAAATGTATAGGCAGTGAAAGATGACACCATCTCTGACGCATGTACTAACGGCCTGTAGCCTCTAACCATGTCAGTCTTTTAGCAACTCATATTTCTGTTCATGAAAGAGAAGGCGTTGCCTACAGTTTCTGTACTTTGATGATGTAGCAGTAAGCACAAGTAAATGTTTTTGATTTTCTAATAAAACAGCCTGTTATAGATCACTAGCTTTCAGTTAATTTGCCTTGACATTGTTACATTGTTAAAGCAAAGATGTTGATATTTGTTAATATGCTCACTCAAAACTAAAATCTAGAGGGAAAGTGTACAAACTTGAAGAAGGAAGAAAAAATAAATTCTTAGTTATGTTATGTTGTGTTACTTTATTTGGTACTGGGAATTGAACTCAGGACCTTACGCTTGACAGGCAGGAACTTATGCCACTGAGCTATCTCCCCAGCTCTTGCATTTTATTTTAAGCCAGGAGAATTTATGAAAGAATGTTATATACCTAAGATATTAATGTATTTTTATTTATTATTGGTCGTGCTTCAAAGTATGAGACTAAAATTTCTAAAAATTTTAGCCTTGTTTTTGATCCTTTTACTCATAAGCTTGGAATGACATTTTTATTCATTTTTATCACTGGGGGAGTATTTTATCCAATTGAATTTTCAGTAGCATTTCCATTGGCAGATTGTTAGTTTCATGGCATGTTAAGTGAACATCTCTTAGATTATAAAATGAATTTGGCATGATGACACACAGGTTGGTGATTGTGGAGCCTAAGATTCTGTTCTTGTAATTATTGTTTCCGAGTTACTGATTAATTTACCTTATGTCAGAGAGGTGCAGACTTGTTATTCAACATCCCTTACTGAAAATATGTGTTAGGACTCAAGTTAAATTTATACTGGTTGCAGATGACTATTAACAGCATTCAACTAGAACAGTACACATTAGTTCTAAAATAATTCTATCAGAATGAAACTGACCTCTAGTAAGATTTCTTTTCTGAACTAAAATAATGCAAAATTTCAATTATTTTCTTGTTGTTTTATGTGGAACCCATAACATGTTTTAACATAAGGAATATGAGTTACATGTGCATACAGAATTGCCAGAAAAGAGGGTAAAAACTTGTAGTTTCCCAGCAGTATAATCACGAAAAGTGTTATAGCAGTAGTTCTTTGATGTATACGGAGTTTGAATCAATATCTAACCTTGAATTTCTGGATGAAAACTGACAAGTTGTTTGAGCATATTTTTCTCCAGTAAAACTTCCTAAGTACTTAGTTCTAGAAAACTACATTGACATTATCAGAAAGCAAGTGTACTTTTATGTGAACCTTTACTTTATAGATTTGGTGGGATCTAGTTCTTTTTTTTAAAAAAGTGTTTTTTTTTATTAGTACATGTTTGTAGTACATAATTTATATTCATTATGGGGCATTGCATGTGGGATCTAGTTCTATTCTGCTATGAAGGAAAAAAATTTAGAGTTTGGAGATTTTTTTGTTTTTTCATTTTTGCCACTTTTAAGCTTTTTTTTTTTCCCCCTCATTTTTCTGATTTTAGTTGCTTACTAAGAAAGCCAGAGAAAATAGAGGTCACATATGTGCAAGAGTGAAAACATAAAGTTGATACTCAAAATTATGTCAGGCTTAGATTGACTTCTGTTGTAATTGTAGATCTGAAATTTTTTATAAGATACTCTAGTAAACTGTGAGTTCAATTTAATTCTTAACTATGATAGTTTCCCTTTCAGAATGCAAAAGTAATGATAGATTAATGGGGTTTTCCAAAATGAAACTTGATATTTAGATGCATGAATGGAATGAATATGGCAGTTCAATAAGGCTATGATTTTGAGTGATAGGAACCCGAGTGAGTATATGTATGAACCTGCTACCATTCAAGGAAAGCTTGAATTATAGCTTGTATATAAATAAATATACGTTTGAAAATTTTTTACTGATACACAGACTCTGTCATATAGATTGTTTTGATGTTTCAAACTGATCATTTTTTTCTGGCTTTGGCTTTTGCATTAGAATGAGAAAAACTGCTTATTGTATGAAATACTTAAGGCTAATGTTTCTTTTGTTTTCTTATGTAAAGATAAAATTTATTCTTAAATAGGTATTTGTTTTTAATTCCTTTGGTATATATTTCATTCAAAACCTGAATTCTAATATATGTTTATATGTATGTAATTTTTTATAGATATTTTGAATAGAGTTAACCCTGGCTTGTATTCAAGGGGAATAAAGAATGGCGCACTGAGTCGAGGTACCATATTATTGTACTACTTTGATTTTAAAATGAAGTATTTTGACAAAGTTGGTTATATAGAAGCATATTCAATATATTGTATAATTTTAAAATACAGGTATTACGGCTGCTTTCAAGCCTACAAGTCAGCACTACACGAACTCAGCATCAAATCCAGTGTCTGCCTCGCCAGTAAATTTTCATCCTGAATCTAGATCTTCAAATAGCTCTGTTATTGTTCAGCCTTTTTCTAAACCTGTAAGTGTTTTTGAACCTATAGTCAGCTTAGAGATATATAGGCTATTATTTATCAATATGGACAATACGTAGTTAAAATTTCAGATTGTCTCATCAACAGCTTTGTGATAGCTCAGCTAGTATCCAAAGAAATTTACTGCAGATCTTGGCCTTGTGGCACATACCTGTAATCCCAGCACTCAGGAGGATCATGAGTTTAAGCCCAAGTTAGAGAAACCTTGTCTCAAAAAATGAAGAAAGGACTGGGAATGTAGCACAGTGTAAAGGAACCGATTTCAATCCCTAGTACTTCCCCCCAAACCCCACACAAAACAAAGAAAGTAATAACTGCAGGACTTAAGTACCCAACCTGTGGGGCTAGTGAGATAGCTCAGCAGCACAACTCCTACCTGGCAAGTGTGAGGTCCTGAGTTCAATTCCTGATACCCCAAAACAAAAAAGTATCCAACCTGTTAACATATTAGGAAATATGCTAAAATTGAATAGATACTGTACTGAAAACTGTGCTGTCAAAACTTGAATAAAAAGGCCAGGAATATAGCTCAGTGGCACAGTGCCTGTCTGACAAGCACAAGGTCTTGAGTTTGATTGTTGGTACCAAATTACAAAAAAAAAAAGGATTATCAGTGACTATTACATAAAAGCAAAGTGTGTAAAATTGCTAACTCAGCCAAGTGTTTTTCAATTTTATTTATTTATTTTTGGATACAGGGACTTACTATATAGATTAGCCTGCCCTTGAACTCACTATGAAGCCAAGGCTGACCTTGAACTTGACCTTCCAAGTGCTGGTATTACAGCTGTACATTACACATCTGGATCTGGCTAGGTATACTTAATTGGGAAAATTATTGAGAGGTAGTCATGACTTATTTTAAAAATACATCTTCATAACCTAGCTTAAAAAACATTAATGAAAAGTAAGGAATAATGGCAATAATTATCATTTATTATGCTAAATGCTATATATAAATAATCTCCTTTAATTCTCAAACATCCCTATGAAGTAGATACTATTATTTCCATTTTATAATTGAAGAAAGTTATAGAGGTTAAATGATTTTCTTAAGATAGCTTGCAGATGTTGGATCTAGGATTTCAAACTAAACTAAACCAGAGTTTAGAGGAATATAAATGTGTACTTACAAATGTTGTGTATGAATGTATATGTTTTAAAAATAAAGCTTTCTGGGGGCTGGGGAGATAGCTCAGTGGAATAAGCGCTTCCCTGGCAAGCGCAAGGACCTGAGTTCAATCCCTGGTTCCACCAAAAAACAAACAAACAAATAAATAAATAAAGCTTTCCTTAGTTAAGAATTTCTCAAGGGGTGGGCTACACCACTGGGGCTCCCAGACTTCCTGGGGTTTGGGAATCAGCACTATTGTCATTGGAATCAATCTGCCTTTCTCTGTGTGGACGTTTACATTGATGATACAGAACAGTGGTAAGGGAGCTGCTGGTGTCTTGCTGTGAATCAGATGGTGGCACCAAGTGATAGCTTTTATTAGTCATCAGCTGTGTGTGCTTATAGTTAAAAATGTTCAACTATGCTCACTTCCATGAAGTTTTAAAATACATTAAACATCAATTCATGTTGCTAATGTTGTTAACTGTACTGTTGAGTAAGTCTTCAATATTTTATGTGATGAAGTGGGTAGTATATATAAGACCCTTCTGTCATAATTGTGATCAATTTTTGGAAGAAAAGCACTTCTTTGATTCAATTTGTGAGCTAAACTACCTGCTTGTAAAAAACAAAAACAAAACAAGAGAACAACCCACACCAAGTTTGCTTGATTGACACACCATGATTTATTTCTTTATGTCAGTACTAACACAAACATACATGACTCTAAAAAATACACACTTATTGTCTCACAATCTTACATTTTCTGTGGTCAAGTGTCACCATGGTTGGCTTTATTTTCTTCTTTAACATCACAGGCTACATACAAGATGCGGTCTCTTAAGTTATGCTGTCATCTGAAGTTCTGTGGGGAAATATCTGCTTCTGAGCTTTCGTGGCTTTTGGTAACATTCAAGCCTTTGGGGGTTGTCAGACTGAGAGTCCTACTATCTTGCGAGTTTTTTGCCTGCTGTTTGCCAAGTGGGTCTTCCCAACATGGCACCTTGTTTTCTCGGAGGTAGCAAGTGAGAATGTTTTACGAAAGTCATTATAATCTTATGTAACATAATTATGTGCACAAAATCATATATATCCTCTCACCTTTGCTGTATTCTGTTACTGAGAAGCTAGTCAGAAGTTCTACCTATAATCAAAGAAAGCTGTCACAAAGGGTATGACTACCAAGAGGTGGGGATGATAGTCTTTCTACCATACAGAGTTTTTTAGTCTTGAATATTTGGCAGACATTTCCTAAAAAGTGGACAGAATGCACCTGCCAATTCAAGAAAAACAACTGATAGTAGTTTTCTTACTAGTGATAAAATTTCTGTTTTCAAGGACAAAGTTAGACTTTTGGAAACTTAACTGTGATGCTGATTGCCACAGCTCGTCAATATTTTGACCCTGTTGGTGGTCACTGTACTTAAAAGTAAGACTTTTTGATACTGTGTCATGAACTCTGTGAACATTTCAAAGATCTGCATTATTCAGTGAAACCAGTATTTTCTAGTTGCTAGAAATGTATATGTTATAAAAGTGCAGATGGGTAAAGACTGGCCATTTTATAGGAACAAGGGTACAAAAAAAATCAGGAATATATTTTTAGAATCTACACTGTGACAGACCTTTAAAAAAATCCCAACTGTTGAGTTTTGGTATACTACCGAAGTGTAAAACTGCCTCTCTTCACAAATTTTTTTTTGTGTGTGTATGTGTTTGAAAGTCACTTTTTAAAAAAAAGTGTTTATGTTAATCTCTAATGGGTTTATTATTATTTAAATGAACTAGTAAATATTTCAAAATTTTCCTTTTAGCTTCTACTGTAGTATCAATAGATATAACTAACAACAAAATCTCTTGGGGTTCACTAATTTTTAAATGTGCAAAAGGGTCAACTTGAAGCAGGAGAGTTAGGTACCACTGGCTTTGAAAAATAGTAATACAATTTTAAAAAGTTTTATTAAAAAACTAGTAACAAAGTGAGCAGAGGAGTATCTTTGATCATGTGTGATTCCACAAAGCTATTATTTTCTAACATTTTGAAAATATAATGAATGTTCTTCCAGTGAGGTAGAAAGCTCAGAATGTAAAAATAGTTGGATAATAATTCAATTAAAATTAACTTAGGGGCTTCTCATGCTTATCGTATGTTGTTTGGCATTTAGGGGAAACTAAAAACTTGATTATTTATTTATTTATTTATTTATTTATTTATTTATTTATTTATTGTGGTACTGGGGATTGAACTCAGGACCCTGGGCTTGCCAGGCAAGCGCTTATTCTTCTGAGCTATCTCCCCATGCCCTAAAACTTGATTATTTAATGTTATTTGATATGTAAAAATCTTTCTAACATTAGACTTTTAGGGGAAAATAACAAAAGCAAGGAGTAGAATCTTTGGTATTATAAAAGTTAGACACTAGAACATTTTCTTACTCTTGTTTTGTTTTTTGGGTTTTTTGGGTGGGCATAGTTTTTAAATCAAAGCATTTTAATTGGAGTTTCCCAATCCTGTACTTCTTTTAGAAAAAGAACATTTTATTTGGTTGGTTTGGGTGGGGCCTGGTGAAGATAGTTTTTAAAAATTCCTGGTAATCTGTTGTATATAGTTAAGAATAACAAGAGTGGTAAGTATAGTGAGTCGAAAGTCTTACTTGAGGGATTTTTCTCCTGAGTTTTAGAAGCCACTGGCTTGAATAAATACAATTATTTTCCATTTTATGTCATGTTCTCTGTATTTTTTTATGGAATGTCTTTGTATTTTAACATTTCTTTCAAGTACATTGGGTTGGAATTTATTATTATTATTGCTTATAAAGTCAGTGTGATCTAGCCTGAGCACATGGGCTTTATAATTCCTAGATTCTAATTTTAGCTCCATCAATAAAGTTAAACAGTATTAACTTTATAATGCTTCTGTGAAGGAGCTACTTTAGAAACTGCAGTGCATATTTCTATATTTTTAAAGTACAAATATTTAAGAAAATATTTACCTTGAACTAAGATTGTGTTTTGTTGCAGTTAAGTCATATGGTATTATTATTTATTTGGGTTTTTTGAGACAGGGTTATACTATATAATTTAGGCTGGCCTTGAACTTATTACATAGCCCATACTGATCTCAAACTTACAGTGATCCTCCTCCCTCAGCCTCCCAAGCTCTGAGATTATAGGCATGTATCACTGTGCCTGGCTGGATCTTATGTCATTCCTGATCTTTTTTTTCATCCTACACATTGAATCTCAAATGCTCACATCTTGTTATAACTTCTTAATAATTTTTTATCAATAGAAAAGTAACATCAAAATTCTTAAAACTTGATTATCCCTAATTTATGAGCATAAAAGAAAACCCTTATGTTATTATAAAATAATATATATTTTGGGGAAAATTTAGAAACAGGCATGTATCAATCAGGATCATACTGTAAATACTAATACATATTTCTCTTTTCACTGAACATTCTACTCAGAACATGTCATTGGATATTTCTGTGGGTTTTGGGTTTTGGTTTTTTTAATGTATTTGGTTGTTGGCAGGGTCTCACTACACAGCTCAGACTCATGGTGATCCTCCTGTTTTCAACCTCCCCAGAGCTGGTATTACAGGGGTGCGCCACTATGCCCAGACTCTGGCTGGCTCAGCCCGCCCAGGGGTGAGACTGGCATGGCACCACACCAGGGTCTCTGCGCTTGCCTAAGCTTTCTAAGCAAGTGCTTACCTCCTTAGCTATCTCACCGGCCCCATTGGATATTTCTAAAACAAAAAAGCCTGATTTTTAAAATAAATTTGTTTGTTTTTGAGACAGTCTTGCTATATAGTTCAGGTTGCTCTGAACTCACTGTGGATCTGAGGCTGACCTCAAACTCAGG